ACAGCCGAAGCCCCCAAACTAATGACACCCAAAGCAATGACTTTCCTGTGGAAGCCAATTCATAAACAGTGTGAAAGCATTTCAGTGTTCATATGGACTAATACAAGATACATAGGAATGGGCAAATAGGAAAACATTAACTACACACATAAATTAAGATGAAATCCATTTTACGGTATGCTCTAAACAAGTTATTCCGATAGAAGATGTGTAACATTCTAATAGTTAAAATATTAGCTGTTCAGAACACAGTTACACATTTTTATAAATATCAGCTAAACTTGCCTTTGTTTTCATGATCAGATGCACTCAGATTATTTTTCTCATCTTTTGACATTAAAGATAATTACTGATAATCAGAGACTACAGCATGAGAGGTCTTGTGTCTTATACTACAAATACTGATAGAATGCATCCATGACATAAGGAAATTGCTTTCACACAATGGGAAAGGAGAGAACACAAGGCATGTAAAGGAGACTTTACTGTTAATAAAAAGTGATGCATTAAACAGGAAAAAATTAGGCCTAAAGTTATTGTTCAAATTAAAGTTTTTTAAAACTGACAGCTTAGAAAAGATTAGAATTCAATTCGGTGTTTCAAATAAAAATAGTGAAAATTTGATAAAAGCAATATATAAACATATATACTGATTATGTAACATTTTAAGTTTTAAAGTTCTTTCAGGAACATTCTGACAAACGTCAGATAACATGACCATCACTTTTTTCCCTCAGAATCTTAACATGCCCAACAAAGCCAAACGTCTGACTTTAAAGCCACCCATTTCAATAGGATAGGATTATACTAGGATATTTATGTTTATTTAATTTAAGAGAGCATATTCACATGCATCACAAATGTCAATATTGAGTATCTAATATAGAGAAAGAGAAATTATGACATGTAAACATAATAGGGACTTAAAAAACCACCACAGTGAAGGCTCTTTCCACACCACTTAGAAGGAGGACTCTTTGGTGAGAAATTATGACTGTCAATAAACATTAGGGCAATATTGAGCTGAGATGAAGAGCAGGAATGTACAGTTAATTTTTCTTATTTTAGGAACAACTTATGAAGAAAATAGTGGTAGCCTCTAAAAGTTTTAATGGAATTTATATTCTGCTCTATATTTATTTGCAATTTGCCTCTACAAAACCAAAATTCTTTATAGAGAGGAGGCTAGGATTACAACATACTTCTACTCAGTGTAACCCACTGTAGGTACTCATAGAGTTTTTAATAAATAGATGAACTGAATAGAGTTGGGTATAAGGACAGGTATAAGTTTGGTCAGACACATTTTCTATTATTTTAGTCTGACTTTTAACATTTAGGAACATGTTCCGATGGATAAATAAAACATTCTGATAAGTTATGTAGATAGCTTATGTAATATTTCTCCATCAATAATTAGACAATTTATTTAAAAGTTAGTACTGAAAAACAATCTATTCTTTATAGTGCATTTATAGATTTGGAGCCTAAGTTCTTATGTGAAATTGAAAAGTCATACTTCTAAAACATTCAATTATTTATATTAGACACGCAGACAGACCTGCCTTAACCTCTTCACCCTGCTTTTCTCCCCACTGCTCTTCCATATGCCCCGTTTCTTCATTAACCTCTGTATTTGCACAAGTAAAGAAAAAAATAAGACCAGATGTATATATTTGTTACTCTTAGTGACAAAAAATTTCAAGTTATTCATGATATGAGTGATTATGAGGAGACTAATGATTATTTACTAAGTTTCTGACATGTTAAGTAAATAAGTATTCTATTAATAAATTATCATATTGTCTTCTTTTATGTTGACTTTGATTTGTAAAAGAGTGATTGTGGCCCCTAAAATATTTGTGTATATGGTAACTGTGTAAAGTAGTCAAAATACTTTGTCTATGATCTTGATATATTCTTAGAAAAAATAATATACCTTTATCCCTACAGAACCAAAAAATGGTATTAAAAACTCATTTTTACACAATGCCAGTACATCAAGTTCAAGAGAAAATTTTAAAAAATAGTAATGCCGCAGCAGTCATTATGTTGTACTTTTCTTATACTGCTCTTGTTTTCTTTGGTTGCCAGAGAGAGGATAACTAATACTGTACCATCATGAAAACCAACATATATAAAGTTTTAAAGTAATTTCCTTAATAGACTAAAATATAACCAAGATCAAAAGAAATTAAATTAGGAGTTGCTCATTTTTTAGCTGTTGAACAGGATTAGATAAATAAATGTGTCATTACTTTGATCTTGAAATAAGGCCATTAAATTACATCTTCTGATAACTTTTAAGTGATAATCCAAACATAATTTGATTTAGACCACCTACTGAGAACCTATTTGGGGTCATGTACCTTTAACTTCAGTGGGAAGTTGAAACTTCTAAAAGAGATATTTTATATCTCCTTTAAAGCTAAAGAAAATTACACAATTATATATCTACTCAAGTGTTCACATCAACATTTACAAAAACACTGTTAAAATCATCCATCCCTCCAAGCAAAACAAAACAAACAAAAAACTGAAAAACAAACCCTTTTATCTCATAGTGGAAATAACAAGGAGGATTTAGTTCTTCTTTCTTTTACTTATATAAAAGAAAAAAAATTACAATTCAAATGACATTAAAGGAAAACCATGGTTTGAATAGATTCTATAGGGCAAAAATGAGACGGTATATAGAATGCATGTTGACAAGCCCATTAAAAACTTCCTCAACCCTAACTTTCATTATCAGCCCTATGTTGGCTTTCTGGTAGATTATTGTTATGGAACTACTCATGTCTCAATAGTCTATTGCTATAAAAGATATTAAAACTGAATTTTAAAAAGCTGTGACTTCATATGCCAACAAATGAGGTCAAAACTCTATCATTAAAAATCCTGGGAGACAAGAAATTTCACATGTACTACAGAATTTTTCTTCTGGAAAGTACTTTTAAAATTATATACACCCATTCTAACGTAAATAATTGAGAATTAAAGAAATGCTGCTGTAATCTCCTTATCAGGCAGCACATTAGCCCTGGTCTCAACAGCATGGAGTTGTTTAAAACCATTGTACACAGCATAGAAAGAACTTTGATATAAAAGTCGATAAACCATTCAACAACTAACGAGGACACAGTTTGTTCCAAATTATATAAGGCAATAAAAGTATCCCTGCCCAAAGGTAGTGCACTTAAAACTTTGTTACAAATAGGAATAGAAATATACATTTTAATATAAACATCTCTAGAATGACAAGATTGTTTTAGTGATACCTTATGCACTCTGTGAAGTAACTTTTCAATTTTTAAACAATATTTCATGCACTCATTCAGCAAATATTTATTGAGGACCTATAATGTGCCAGGCATTATTCTATGTGCTGGAAATTCGTAAGTAAATAAAACTGAACAATTCCTTAAGTTTACAAAGTTAATTTTAGAATCTATAATTGGCAGAGTAATTTTTTCTGTCTTAGTGAAAATATGAAGCTCCATATATCATGACTCAATATTGTCTCTTGAGTCATAATGTAGTATTGATAATAAAACGGCACATATTTAACTTTGGTATACTGTAAGCAGTCTTGGTACAACACGAAAAGTGATGTAGGGAATACAAACCACGATCACTGTCTAATTCAACAACTTTCTTTTCTATAAAGACAAATTTAATAATTAAAAGATCATCATAAATACAAAATGAAATATATGATGATAAGTATAACTAGACTAGGTGTACATCTTCAGTAACATAAACACAGACTGCAATTGATATCTTTGCTTAAGGTCTTGCCTTAAACATAGAATTCTGCTCGAAAAGCAAATGAAAAAGTTTAAAAAAGGAACATTTTATCTTAAGAAAAGATGTGAAGCAGAACATTTCACTTAAGAAAAGTTCAACTCTTTGCACTCATGCTTGAATGACTCAAAGAAACTTAACTCCTTGGCCTAATTTTCAAGTAAAACAAAAGTTGAGGACTTTACCAAAAATCATAAAACAAAACCATTTTACTGTAAATAAAAGTCTATCCAATGGAGGGACATCAATTGCAGTTGGGTTTATTTTTGCTTCCAAAGCCCCCCAAAAAGGCTGTCAGCATAAAACAAACCCTCCTTTAAGTACAGACCTTCATAAGGTTCTATCTCCTTGACTCCATTGTCTAGGAAAAACAAAATAAAAACAAAACAAAAAAAGGGAACCAAAGCACAGGGGTTAAAAACAACAGAAATTTCCAAAGATACAGAATGTATGTATCATCTATTAAAGAAAAGTTAAATGGTGATTTAAATATACATATATATACATATATGTCTTTTTTGTCAAAGTACATCCAGTTACTAAATAAAGGGACCATTTAAAAAACGAGGTTGAAAATTATTATATTCTATCATCCATGCTTTTAGAGGTCCTTTATCCATAAGAATTTATAGATGTTTGGGGATTATGTTCATCTGTGTATAAACAAATAGTGCTTCTTATGCAAAGATTGAAACTATTAAAAATATCAGTACAACATGCATCTTTCTTTGTATATTCATGATTACCTTTTTCCTGGCACTCCAGTTTTGAGAAGGGTCACCATTGTTGTGCATCAGCTAACCAGTCCTTTGCAGTGTGTGAAAATTGATTTGGCTAGTTACTAATAAACTTTATGTAACTATCAACAATTACATAAACTTAATTGTAGCAAAGAAATATCATCCAACTGCTTATTTAAGAGCATTACGTTTACTCTTTAAAAATGCATTCATTCAAGTTTGAAAATGTGCAGGAGCAATAATGGAAGGTTATTTTACCTCCAAATATTACAAATTTTAAATGCAACATATATAACATTTATAAATATATTTATAAATATAACTACCAGCAAATACAGCTAAGGTATTCAATTAACAAAAGAAGAAAATTAATACAAAGGTAGTAAAAAAGGAATCTTGATTCACCTTAGCTTCCATGTGTATTTCCTACATGACATAATTAGAAATAAAACTTACTTCTCTCCAGTGTTCCCTTTGGTGGAAGTTGCGGAAGCTGTCGGCCCCTTCGTCCCGCTGCTGGAGTGCTGGACGGGCTTGTTTGGACAGACCCCGTACGAGGATGAGACCTACAATACACCATCGATGTTCATTCTCAGTAGCATGAGTTAAGCAACTGTAATACATTTGGTTCATATGATAGCTGTGCAAGTGCAATTTTAAAAGACGTGTAGCTGCTGATTAAAAGGTTAGGAAGGAAGGACAAAATATGGATATCTGAATGATTGTCAAAAGATGCTTCTACTTTTGTGTAATATGCATACATACACAGATACATGCACACGGAATCCTACAGTAACATCCATGAGATTAATGTAAATTAGTATTCTATCTATATGAAAGCAACAGGAGACTTCTGCAGCTTAAAAAATAAAAGGTAATGCTTTACATTTCTTTCTACCAGATTTCAAACTCTCAGCACTAACCTCCCTCCCTTGATCCAAGGAGATTTTTACTCAGGCTTATACTTGATATCCCATTATTAGAAAATATCTCATGAAACTACAAATAAAATCCTGAACAATTCAAAATTCAGCTAAAGAAAATACTGGTTAATACATGATACTAGTATTGATAGAAAGAAACTAAAAATCTAGCTTTACTTAGTGTCATTATGATGATTATTCCAAAAGTGATGTCTAATGGACACAAACAATTTCTCATTCTGTAGGAGAAGAACATGATAGTTATGAAGTGCATTATGGGGGCATTTACCCAGGACTCCTGATAATGAGAAATCACAAAACAGATGTGGTCAGGACAGTTAAAAACAAATTACAATGGTAGCCACACACTATTATATCCGCTGAATATAAATAGTGTGCTTACACTGAAAAGGTTAGTATCGATTGTCATTAGTGATCAGCCAAGGATGATAGAAGAGACCATTTAGCTGCTGGGAAAATAAATAGGTGTGCTGGAGGGGCAAAGGGGAGGTTAGTCTGATTGATTTATCTTTCACCTCGATAAGGCAGGTGAAGGAGGGGCAGATCTTCCAGTCATTAATGAAGGCATCGACCTCATGAGGTTTGTATCAGGACGCTCAGTGGATCTGGAGCGGGTGGTGGTCCGCTCTAGGAGAGGCCGTTGTTCTGTTGCTCTGGATCTGTGATATGGCTGTCTATCTGCTGCTTCACAATCCCTGAAATGTTAGTCAAAAAGCAGCTCAGTTGATCTTTAGTGCCCTTCTGCTATTTGGTTATGATGCATCAAATTGATTTTGAAAAAGGTTATTTTTTAAAATTATCGAATTTGCAAAAAAATAAAAAAGTTCTCTTCCCCAACATAATCTGAGCAGTTCTCACTAAACTTCTTAAGAATTTCTAAGGAAACCCAAATTTGCCTTTAACGGCAATTCCCAGTGGAGACAATAGGAGTTGCTCAGTTATAATCGATGACAACCCAAACTGCCAGCTTTCCCAAGTGAATTCTCTAAATGAAACATGTGAAATATGTGAACTATTCTATCTTCAAAGAATTCAATGGCTTTTCTTAGCATTTTCACAAGAGTGAAGAAGAACATACAAGCATTAATTCTAAAGCCCCTAAGGCGGATTGTTAGCGTATCAACTGAGATATAAAAAGGCTTTCAGCACAAACATAGTATATTGATATATCCCATCATTCAAACAGAAGAATCAAAAGGTTGTAAGAAACCACTGCAACCTTGCAGGCTGTAGCCATATTTAAACACGGTCCACAAGAAAAATCACAGAAAGCTGGTTAGTCAGCCAATCTGTGCCACCTCTCACAGGGCACTCTAGCAATGCCAACCAATACAATTCAGAAGGGTACTGGGATGCCTAGATGGCTCAGTCACTTAAGTGTCTGACTCTGGCTCAGGTCATGATCTCACAGCTCCTGGGTTTGAGCCCCACATCAGGCTGTCTGCTACTAGCTAATAGTGAGGAGTCAGCTTCAGATTCTCCTTCTCTCAGGCTGTCTCCTTCTCTCTCAGCCTCTCCCTTACTCACCCTTTATTTTTCTCTTTCAAAAATAAATAAACATTTAAAAGATTTTTTAAAAATTCAGAAGGGTATTAACTGATTGAAATAATAATGGTTCTGAAACAATGTGCTCTCTTTGACCACAAACAAATCCAATATCAAAACCTAATCCTTATTGAAAGGAGTATACCTAAATGTAAGGAGCCCATCATTACTGATGTTTATATCCCTGGAATCAAACATAATGCTTTTAACACCTAACACGTGATCAATAAGTGTTTCCTAACACCAGCCCCACTTTCTATGACAACACTAGCTTTGATCAAGAGCTCCATACACCAAAGTAATACCTGCACCAAATTATCACCTCTCCATCTAGTTGTAACCACAGAAATGTTTTCTACATATGGAAAACAAGCATTAGTCTCCCCCCAAGACTAATGTAAAGATCTTCCACTTTACCTATAAGTTCTCCTCAATCTTATTTTTGACAATGAAAACTGCAGGCAATTAAAGAAAAATAAGAAAAGAAAGGACACAATTTCCTACATGTAATTAATTATATGGCACACAATTTTTGACCAGTACATATGAGATTAGAGGACTTTAGGAAGCGAGTCCTGGGTTTTTATTCTACAACATTATCTTGTGATCTTCATACACTTTAAATTCACAAGGTAACACATAGGCCAAATAGTTTTAAAATATTTTAAAATCTATGTGCCATGATATGATTGATTTCCCGAGTTTAGTTTTTTTATGTAAGTATATCCTGGATATGTCAAAAAAAGCTGACATATTCAAAGTATAAATACATTTTGTATAAATACAAATTTGTATTTATATATACAATTTGTATAAATATACAAATACATTTTGTATAAATACAAAAATATAAAATATTCAGTTACTTTCAAAGACATAGATGAAAAAGGCAGCCTGATAGTATAAAAAATCATAATTCTATTTTTGTTCCCTGAAAAACTATTTGAGAGAAAATATTTTTCTTTAGAAATAAATGTGCTCAATAGTTCATTAGATGTCTTTAGTGCACATTATCTTTGTATACCTTCATCATGAAAAAAAAAAAAAAAGCAGAAGCAAAGTAACATAAATACCTTAGATTCCTTAAAGCCTATTTTTTGGAGAGTGCCAATCTACATTATTTTCAGATTTGCTATTAAGTTAACAATAAGCTCGTCTCACTGTATGACATGTAGCAAGACACTTTTGTAGAATATCTATGACTGCCCTAATATAAAATAAGGCTAATGTCCCATGTATTCATGCAAAATTTGATTTATTCTGATTCTAGCAAGCATTTTTTCTAAGTGAAAAGTAAGATGTTAGGATATAAATTTTTACTTCTTGACACTATATTTTTAATTATTGAAATACATGATTGTGAGTGAAATCTGGAGAATTTTTTCAAATGTGTTGCTATGTTCTATGTCCTTAAAAGAATCCTGCTACTTATAAAGCAAATAGGTCTTTCTTTAGGAAATATCCCTTGGAAAAAATTCCTCTTTAGTGGAAAAGTTGTTTGAAGACTATGTCAATATTTTAAATTTTGCTTATATTTCTTCTCTCCATATTCATAAATAATATGAATTGTCTGATTTCCATAGCATGAAAGGAGATTGGCTAATACTGAAACACAAAAGAACCATAGTAGAAGGTAGCACTTTCCTAAAATGTCCACCGTGGGTGGTTAAGGGGTGTAGAAAGCTACCATATTTTAAACTTGGATAACACAAGAGACAATCAACACAGGCTCCCTTTCAAGGGTAAGATAAGTCTTACTAGGTAAGAACTAAGACAACATCTGAGAAAATTGAAAGTAGCACTGCCCAAGTGTCACCCCGAGATACCTCATCTCCTAACAGGTGCTTTAAGAGGATGAGATATAAAACTTGACAACTTTCACCTAAATTCTTAGTGAAGTTTGATTTTAAGATAAGAACTTATAAATAATTTTTGAATGCTAGCAACTGAGACGTGGGAAATATGCATTTGCAAGGTATAAAATATTTTAGTGCCTACTGAGGTTTTTTAACTAGGACTCTATATTTAGAAATTATATATAGTTGTTTTTGTACCTGCCCTTATTTTTTTTAAGTTTTTTTTTTAAATGTTTTATTTATTTCTGAGAGAGAGAGATAGCGTGAACAGGGGAGGGTCAGAGAGAGAGGGAGACACAGAATCCAGGCTCTGAGCTAGCTGTCAGCACAGAGCCCAACGCGGGGCTCAAAGCCATGAACCGTGAGATCATGACCTGAGCCGAAGTCAGACGCTTAACTGAATGAGCCACCCTGGCACCCCTGTACCTGCCCTTATTTACCTTTTTGTACTTTATGCATTTTAAAACTTTAGTCTAAAAAGAGTGGCCATAGGTTTTATAAGATTGCCAAAGGACAAGCCATATAAAAGGTTAGGAATTCTGCAGCTATAAATTTAAATCTTTCTTAGATAATGTGGTTGTCTTTTAAAATATGATATAGTATCTTAAAAAAGTGATTTAATATCTATCATAGCTTCACTTTTTAAGTAAATTGTTTATAGCATATGTATAAAATAGTTCAGATTTTTGCATGTATTATTTACCTGGATAAATACAGATTACTGCTTTGTGTTATTTAGTGGCCCTTATTCCAAACTGCAAGTGTTTGCAGAGGTTACCGTTTAATAGCCCTTCTACAAAGAGAGCTAATTCATATTGACAGATATTGCTATAACAATTGCCAATATTGCAACAGCCCTGCTTTAAAAGCATATAATAGTCCATGCAGATTTGAGCCGAGGATTTCTAAGGGAAAAATTATTTTATAATCATCTAGAGTGAAGTCCAGTTTGAATCATTTTTCCCCTCAATATAGTTGCTCTTAAAAGATTTTTTTAAATTTCCGAGTATCTGGCACTGCTTTCCACATAGTTCATCATTTTGGTGCTATTTACTTTTCCTATTCTCAATCACTGTACAAGGGAGTCATTCAGTGTAACAGGAAAGAATAGGGCAGTGGGCATTCGTCTATATAACCACTTACATTCAACCATCATAACGCTACAATTCCAGATTAACAAAAGCTCAATATAGAGTATCTCTGTAGGTGTGATAAAATAATACTAAGAATACTCAAAAAAACTAAGCCAAAACAAAAAAACAACTGGCACAATGTAAAATTTCAAAGTGATATTCAGAGGTCAGTAGAAACTGTCCTAGACCATAACTCAAAACTTATAGTCTATGAGAAATTAGACAGGCTTCTTTCATATTTAGATTGTAAACATGCCATAAATAAATGAAAATGGTTCTCTTAAAGAATGAACTTGTAAAAAGTGAAGCTATTTAAAAACTATTCCTTGTATTTTCACAAAGAAATTATTTCCTTAAAGCTGAAATCTTAAATGAAAAAAAAAATTTAATGTATCTCTGGAAGACAAGGATAATCTCTGGTTTGGCGCAAGAAATGTCCCCCCTGTGTCTGTATTGTGTAATACAGTAAGTGGATTAACAGCGGAAGCATTATGCTTTTGATAAAATCTATTGAGTGTCTAGACATTTTCTGAGCAGTAGCTGCCTAATGAAGAAATAAATACATGATAAAATTTTAAACTTAACCATTTTAGGGTAATTAATAAAACATATATACATATCTATATAATAAATAATGTTAAGTAATTATGATTCAACTCTATAATTTTCATGTTCATCATAAATTAAAAGGCACAAGTTTAAATTTTAAACCTCTAGCTTATATTATTTCAGTATTGCTTCCAAAGTAAAGAGAGTTGCAAAACACAGGGGTGCCTGGGTGGCTCAGTCGGTTAAGGGTCTGACTTCGGCTCAGGTCATGATCTCATGGTTCGTGGGTTTGAGCCCCGCGTCGGGCTCTGTGTTGACAGCTAGCTCAGAGCCTGGAGCCTATTTCGGATTCTGTGTCTCCCTTTCTCTCGACCTTCCCCTGCTCACGCTCTCTCTCTCTCTCAGAAATTAAAAATAAATAAATAAATAAATAAATAAATAAATAAATGAATAATAAAGACACAAAATACCATGGAAGTCATAGTAAACAAACAAATTAATAAATAAATAAATATTGTGTACAATTAGGAACATTTTATTATTTCAGTGGAAGATATGTCAATTTATCCTAGGCACGACAGCATCTCTTTACAGAACATTTCTGTCCACTTA